TCCTAAAAATTATTATTTTATTAATAAAAAAAATTATAAGTAGATTGTTTTAGAAAATAAAAACTAACAAAAAGAAAAAGAAAATTCCACAAATATAAATGCATAAATAGTATCTTTGGAATAATTTATTATTATTATTTTTTTATGATTGATTTGGATGGAGTTATTATGAAATTAGGTTAAAGGCACGTTGCATTAGTATCATCAGATAAATCAACTGATGGGAAAAACCAGTACGTTTCATTTCGTAATTAATAAAAACCAATTTGACTAAACTATCAGATTGAGCAATCTGTCTGTTTGTTTAAATTTTTTAAGAAAAATAATCATGTTATTCACCATTTTCTAGTATTAAAGATTTTTAAAATATTTTGAGCGAGTTTAACTGATTTAAATAAAATTAAGTTAATTATTTATATGTAAATATTATTTTGCATATACATATCATATTCAACACAGTCAAATATTAATAAACTAGCCTTCTATCAACTTCAATACGACACAAGCACATGTAATTTTTAATGAGCTTTGATACTATAATGACCCCCAAATAGTAAAATAACTTGGAAATAAACATTTTTAGATAAAATAAATAAAAAATGAAATTAATAAATTAACTTGGAAATACTATTTGTTTATTTAATTTTTAATAAAAAAACTCAATAAAATTATAAACAGGGGAATGGTTCCAAAGATTCTACTTGTCAAGTTGTCACCCTTTGGCAGGATTGAAAGTGATCGTAGAATTAAATTTTAATTTTATTATAAGTTTTTATTTTAAAACTTTATTCTTTTAAATATTTTTGTGCTGAGTATAATTTTAGCACATATGCTTGTCTATTTTAAATATAATATATTATTTTGATTTTTTTATATGATTCAGATTAATTGAATATAAATAAGATAAATGATAGATTGAAATTTGGCTATCTAATTATATATATATATATATATATATATATATATATATATATTATAGTAAGGTTTATGTCGGCAATAATATTGATTTATTGAAAATAAAAATTAATAAACATTAAATATGGATGCATACTATAGAGATTGAATTCTGGTTTTCGTAATATCTTAGCTTATCCCTTCGTTGAAAAAATTGTCATACGAAACTCTTTTTTCTAATCTTTCTTTCAACTCCCTCGGCGGCTTTTCAAGATACAGTTTTTCTTTTTCTTTCTTTTCTAATTACAGCTTTAAAAGTACTCATTACAGAATTAAAAACACAAACTACACTCATACTTTTTTTCAGATTTCATTTAATTTCATTTTTTTAATTTTCGTAAAATTCCTTAATTATTTTACAAACATAACACTAATATTATTTATAAATTATACCAACTCTTCTTAAGTGTTTAAAAAATATTACTAGTATAAAACATTTTATATAACATACATTGAAAATCATAAAAAAAAAAAAAAAAGATACTTTACGAAGCTCTAAACGGATATTCTATATTTACAGAAACATTCGATTTTTACAAATTGGTCAAATAAATCATAATAGTATCCCAAAAAAAATTAGCCCAAATATTCCTATTTTGAATAAAAAAAATTAATCTACCATCACACTAAAGACAAACGTTTATAGCTTATTATAGTGAATAGTAAAAACGCGTGAAGTAATAAAAATGATTTTCCCATAATTAAGGGTCACTATTAGTCACAATGGTACCATCATGATCCATCATTCTCCATTAATTTTATGAGTCAATGGCGTGCCTTGTTGGAGTATTACTCTTTTCTATTTTAATACTATTTCATTCAATGTAGTAGCAAAGAGAAAAACCATTTTTTTATGAAACTAAAATGTATGATAAATAGGTATTTTAAACATATAAATTATATTGTGAATAATTTATAAAAATCATACAATTAAATTAAGTATTTTTTAAATATATAAATCATGGTTTAAATTTAATGAATATTTTTAACTTGATATAAATATTAACTTTTAATTGTAAAAAGAAAAAAAGATGAAATATGGTAGAAAGATAGTATATAAAAAGAAAGATAAAATTATTGTTGTTTGAGATGATTAAGAAAAAGACATTTTGCCTAGTCATGGAAGTAATATGTAAAATATATATGCCTCCAAAGAATGTGAGAGAGAAATATTGAATTTTTTTAGTTGAAGTGAGTGAGGACTTCTTCTAACCCTTGTTGAAACAACATCTCTCTACCCTCCACAAGGAAATATAACTTTTGCTGTTAAACTTCTCCACCTTAAACTTTGTCATCACCATGGATATATATAGTCTTTTGTTTCTAAAATTAAAATGTTCAAAAATCAAACAAATGAAAAATAACAAAAAATCGAATAAAGATGAATCATTTATATTTTTCAAAATTATTTTTTACTCAACAGAAAATTTTGGTTTGTATTTCAATTTGAAAATCAAGCTGCACAAAATTACTTCTTATATATTTAAATATGATATTACAAGTTCTGAGTTAATTAATAGTTAATAAATATATATTTAATAATCTAATTCTATTGTACTTATTATATTTTTATATTTTTCATGAGTCAAATTTATATTACAATTTTATATAATTTATTTATAAATACCAGATACAATTGAAAATTAGAAATATAAAAAAATCATAATATTATTTTTATTTAATATTAAAAAAATTAACAATTTTATAGTAAAAAAATATAAAAATTTATCTGAATTTAATCCCAAAAATATTGATTTGGTTTGCATATTTTATATTAAATCAAAATTAAATTAAATTTTATTTAATTAGAGTGGCCTTTAAATAAAAAAAATCATACCATACACAGATTAGGTTGTAATTACAATAGTAATTGTTAGTATAAAAATACATGTAAAATCAATAAATTTGCAAGAAATAAAATATATTTATCATTTTTAATATCTTTTTGCATTCAAAATATGTATAATATTTTTTATATTCTCTATAATAAATATAATTAAAAAAAATAAAATAAAATAATGTAAATCTATGTGGAGTAGCCTAACCGTACCTCTCTTTTATATTATTTGTCACTAAAAGGATTCGAATTCAGTATCTTAGTGTTGGAAGTTGATACTCCAACCACTAAACTACTCAAATTTTTTTATAGTAACTTACAAATAAATTATATTTATATACAAATAAATATATATCCGTGTAAATATATAAATATATAAATACAAATATATTTATATATTTTGATATATTTATATAATTATATATTTATAGGTTGGATGTGAGGGCACGCTCAAAGGTGAAAGTGTGTGTCGAGTGGGTTTTCAAAATTTGATGTCAAATTTGTGAGCGGGTCTCTTTATATGGGTTTGTAATTTAATGACAGAATATAATATTTATAAATTATTTATATAATGATATAAAATAAATTTGGAAAACGCATCATTCGCTCAAGCGAAAAATACCAATTTTCGCTCAAGCGAGGCTTGAGCGAGTCAATTTCCGTGACCTTTAACGTATTTTCACTCAAGCGAGAGTCAATCTCACTTTCACACTCAAACGCGCCCTCACATCCAACATATAAATATATAACTATATAAATATATATAAATATATCAAAATATATAAATATATTTGTATTTATATATTCTATATTTATATATTTACACGGATATATATTTATTTGTATATAAATATAATTTATTTGTAAATTATTATCAAAAAATTATAGTAGTTTAGTGGTTGGAGTATCAGCTTTCAACTCTAAAATTTTTTGGTTGAAAAAGATAAAAACACTTTCCAGAAAATATAAATAAATATATATTTACACGGGTATATATTTATTTGTATATAAATATAATTAATTTGTAAGTTATTATCAAAAAATTATAATAATTTAGTGGTTGGAGTATCGACTTTCAACTATAAAATATTATGTTCCAACCTCGTCAGTTTTAATTCTTTAACTTAAAAAAATATTTGAGTGAAAATACATTCAATATCGATTCATCTGAAATCTACACACGTGAAAAGAGTCAATTAAAAGATTTTCAATGTGGATTAATATGAAACCAACGTTAAAAGTGTATATTGAAAGCATATTTTTAAAATAGTGGAGTGAGAAATAACCACGACTAAGAGCAAATAAGTCTTTTCCTCAGGCCCATTAATTGAAAAGTTATTATATGTATTGAGTGAAAACATAAATTGTGAAGACTTGATGATGACCACTGAGATTGTATCCATTAATATTCCAAGACCAAACAAACATAAGTTGTAGTGTTTTTTCAAGGTGAAGTGTAGATAGAAAATTCTTTTTGATAGATGAACAACCTATTTCATGCCATAGTTTAAATACTTCCATTAAACATGTAATTAATAATTAATAATTCTTTCCTTTAATTCCTAGACACAGCCCTAAATTTAATGACAAATTTGGGCAAGATTATGCCTACATATGCTAGACTGGACAAATATCTTAATTATAATTTTCTTTATTTCAATCAAATCATATTTTCTATCTGAGTGTGTGTGAAGATTTTCATTCATAGGCTATCCAAAGTCTTGGTGGTATCACGTGGAAGCAGTGACTTTAAGTCTATTATGATGAAAGTATATCTATATAAAATAAAACGCATTTTCCTGCAAGAGTATAGGGTAATATACTTTCTTTGGTCTTTATGGGGCAACAATATTACTTGGAATTCCTTCCAATTTGTAATAATGAATCCCTCACTGTTTTTCCACAATTAAGTCTTGTCTCCTTCATTTCACTTTGGCTTTAACTTATTTATATACAATATTAAAGTCATTTACTTTTTTATATAAATTAACTAATTTTAATATAAATCATATTTTATTTGTTTTCTCTAACTCTGACAAAATTTAATCTAAACAAAGTCTTTGATAGAACTGTTGTGGAAGCAACTTCACAGTAACCTGAAGCGCCTATAAATTAAGGCCATACCAAAATCCATAAACTCATAGACACACACACATTTAGAATATATTTTCTTTGATCTCATCGTTTCTTTTACTTTTCTCAGAAAATCATGGGTGTTTTCACTTCTGAAAGCGAACACGTTTCTCCTGTCTCTGCTGCAAAATTATTCAAAGCCATTGTCCTAGATGCCACCAATGTCTTCCCAAAAGCATTGCCAAACTTCATCAAGAGCGCGGAAACCATCGAAGGAGATGGTGGGCCAGGAACCATTAAGAAACTCACTCTTGTTGAAGGTAAACATCAATGAAACAGTTAATAGATATGATATAATTGATTTTCATATATATAAATATATGTGCGTGTTTGTGAAATGTGAACATACAGGTTTAGGGTTTGTGAAGCACCACGTAGATGCATTAGACACAGAAAACTATGTGTACAACTATAGTGTGATTGAAGGAAGTGCATTGTCAGAGGCATTGGAGAAGATATCTTATGAGTACAAAATAGTGGGAACCCCAGATGGAGGATCGATTGTGAAGTCGACGAGCAGATACTACACGAAAGGTGATGAGAAACTCGCTGAAGAATTTGTGAAGGCTGGCAAGGAGAGATCTGCAGGATTCACTAAGGCTATCGAGGATTTCATTCAGGCTAATCCTCATTACAACTAACTCATCACCGACAACGATATATACATCTATATAATCCACTGGTATTGATTATGGTTCTTTTTCTGTGTTTTTTGTGTATCCCTGTTGTGTTGCTTTAATTTCCAATAATTAACGTTTGACCTTGCTTCATGAGAAATCTTTGAGATTGTTCCAAAGTGGTGTGTTCACCCATCATCATCATCAGTGTTATCTTCTTTACCCTTTTGTTAGTAATGTATCTCTCGCTTCAACTTTAATATGAATGCATTGTGTGGAATCACAGGTTGAATTAATCTTCCGCAACAAAAATGCTTATTTTTAATTATCTATAGTGATTCAGACTATAAGAATATATGTGGAGAAAAAAATATTATAACTTACGCGAGAAAATAAAAATAGCTGAAGCCTGGAGTCACGATATGCAGAATGTGCGTTTTAAGCAATTCTATCTTTTTAAAGTAAATAATAATAACATATATAAGATAATAGATTATTTCTCCACGATGTCATGATTTATATTTAATTAAAATTGTGCTTAAATAGAAGTGTTTTTAGAAAGAGAATATTTATGAGAAAAATATTTATCTATGCTTTAAAAAAAAAAAAAAAAACTTGTAATTTAACAGTAAGAAACGAACATGACTGACTCTATTAATAATCATTTTTTCTCTTTCTTATTCCTTAGTGGGGGAACAAAAATTCTTGGTAAACCATTAAGAGTTGACGCCGTGAAGTCTATCATAACCCAATAAGAAGACAGTGGGTACTCAATTAGAAGGAATCCAGAAATTTGATTTAGAAAAATCATTTTTTAAACGAAAATATATCAACTTTGATTATCCAATTATAAAACAACGGGAAAAAAAAGTTAATGCAATATCATAAACGCTTAATTATATTTTTAGTCTCTTAAATTTAAATTGATTCCATTTTTAATTTCTCGTATTTTAGTCCCTTAAAATAAAAATAAAAAAAGTCTCTAAACAGTAAATTTAGAGGATTAACATAAGTTTTTAAGGACTAATACCACATGTTATTTGAAAAACTAAAATAAACACTATAACAAATTTATTAATTAGTAAGAAAAATTTGTTTCAAAATTTATTTTTTATTAATTCGTAACTAGTTGTTGAAGAAACAATGAAAATAAAGTTAGATTTAATCTATAAGAAAATAATTAGAACACTAATATTTTTTTAATTATTTTCTTGCTAAAAATAATTTAGTTAAGAAATGTTTATTATTAATCTCTACTTAAATAATAGAGTGATTAAAAAAAAATTTAATTTTAGATGTGCTATTTTTCCAAGTTACTTCTTAACTAATTGTATAGTTGTTAGTGGAAAATCGAGAAAAGCGATCGAAAACGAAGGAAAGGAAAGAGAGAACATGTGACTGATAAATCAAGATAGATAAAAAACCATTCGATGTCTAAGCACGTAACACATAACATCGAGAAGTACAATCGAGAATCGAAGGAATGATAGTCAAATGCCTATTGTCGAATAAAAACCTAAGAAACTAGAATGATAAGACGTTAAGGTTGAAATGGAATCATAAGCAATTCGAAGTTCTCGAAAGTGTAAAATCGAAAATGAAGAAAGCTAACCTACACGGACATCGAAAACTTTGGCCAAACCATAAAGAGAAGAGTAAGTCAAACGCACGGATAGAGAGCAGTTTCGAAACCATGGAGGAAATCGAAGATCGTGAGAACGTGGGAAACCGTAGAAGATAAACCGCCATATGCACGTAGAACGTGGTAGCAGTCGTGTTAACTGCTCTTGGAAGACTTGAACGATGCACTATAAATAGAGCAAAGAAGGAAGAAATAAGGGGCAGAAATTGGGAGAGAACAGAATCAATAGTGAAAAGTCTACCGGAGAAACGACGAACACCATGAAGCTTCTGGCAATCTGGATTTCCTTGCTCACTGAGTACATTTACCGCTTTCTGTATTTTCCTTGGTAATTTGCTTTAATGCAATTTAAATTCAGTAGTTTTATGTTTCTGTAATTTTTCCTTGTCATTTCAATTCAATGAAAGTTTAAATTTCTGCATTTAAGTTTCCCTGTCAAGTACTTTTCTTGCAATCTCGATTTCCTGTCATTTACTTTTCTTACAATTTCGATTTCCTGTCATTTATATTTGCACTGTTTTCGATATCTTGTCATTTACAATTAATGTAAATTTGGGGTTTTCGCACTTTACATTTCCTCGCAATTTACTATTCTGTTTCTCGATTCGGTATGTTTACTGTGTTCGGTATTTTAAATATAAAAAATAGCATTTTCGATATCCTGTAACTTTCGATTCTTATACACATTTTCGATTGAAAGTCAAATTGCTAGCCTAAGTAAAAAGAACTTACGTGGGAGGATTTTGATTAGGACCAAAACACCTTTAGAATCGAAATCGATCGAAATTCCACCAGAAACAAATTGGCGCGCCAGGTAGGGGATTTCTTGTGTTGAGAAACACAAAATTGGTTAGTTCGAGAGTGTATGAGATTAAGGAGTGGGAGAGTCATGAGTCAGAGTTCGTCAAGTAACCAGAGTAACACTGAGGGATTAAATGGGTCACACCCATCAAATACTGGGGGGCAAAGTCATAATGGGAATACACCTGTAGCATCGACAACTGTAAGTATGTCGATACCCGTGAGTGTTGCCGCCGTTAAAAAGGAGGCGGTCGGAGCGACGCGATGGTTTTTTCGACCCTCTTTATTTTCGCGTTTTTTATTACTGGTTACAACGTTCTTAGGTTGTCCGATAACCGGGCTAACCTAGGGGCGAGGTTTTCGAAAGTATCCCTGGATTGTCTGATAACCAGGCTAATCCAGGGACTTATTTAATTTGGGTTCTATGGAGTCATCACCGATATTTTTACCATAAACATCGGAAAAGGGGTTTAAAAAGGCGTTGGTTTTCGAAAAACCAACTTTGGTCATTAGAACCAGAGTTGGGTAAGGGAGTTAGTTACGTGTAAAGGAAGTGTTAGTTCCTTTACGACGCCCCTTTCGGGTTCCCTATGATAGGCCGGCTAATTTGAGTAAATAATTAAACTGGAAAATAGCGCTTTTACCCTTTTATTATGCGGTATTTAGAGATTATGACTACATGGCCCTAGTATCTATTGCATACATTTAAATGAAAGCGATAAAATTAGAAGGAGAGAGAATGTGTACCTCTAAAGCAAGCTTTTTATATATTTCTCTTTAAAGAGAGGGTGCGTTTTGGCAACCCTTCACTCTACAACTCTCAGAAACTCCGGAAATGCCTCGGAGGGATTCTAAAGAAGATTTAGAGCACTCAGTTTATGCCTAAAGACACTCAGAAACTCTGGAAATGCCTCGGAGGGATTCTTAGAGAGAGAAATTCTAGAGAGAATGGAGAGCTATGCTGATTCTGTGTGGAAATGAGGGGGGGAGGACCCCTATTTATAGTTTTCCGCGCCTGACAGGTCGAGACCGCCGTTCTCGTCTGACAAGGTCGAGACCGCCGTCTCGACCATGCAGGGGATCGAGACTGCCGTCTGGAAAACCCAGACCATCGTCTCGACCTTTGCAGGAATTGAAACCACCGTCTGGAAAATCCAGACCGTCGTCTCGACTTTGCGAGAGTCGAGACCGCCGTCTGGAAAATCGAGACGGCGGTCTCGTCCTGGCGTTGAGACGAGACGGCGGTCTGGTCCTTCCAGACGGCGGTCTCGTCCCTTCAGGGCGAGAAACTTTATTTTCGGGCCAAAAAACCTTCCTATCTTGGTACGGGGGCCTAATAGTCTCTCCTAGTGGCTTGTTAGGCTTCAGCCGTCTTCAAATAGGAAGCTTTCTGGCTTTATTTGGAGGTCGGGCAAGATTTGGGGTCTACAGCTGCCCCCTTTACCCGACTAGTCGACTGCTGGCCTTGTTGTGCCGAGGTGATCGACCGGAGGGTAAAGGAGTTGACCCTCTTGCCCGGTTACCCTTCAGATACTCTGTCTTCACGGCGGATGATCTTCTGGGGAAATGTTGTGTTGTGCGCTTCCGGGATGCTCCTTCGACGCGGTAGCTGACCCCTTCGGCTGATGAGTACGAACCCCCATCTGGTTTTGACGAGTATGAACCCTCGCCTGGTAAGCCCCCTTCTGTAAGGCCTGATGAGTACACACCTCCATCTGGTGTTTGACGAGTATGAACCCCCGTCTGGTAAGCCCTCTTCTGTAAGGTCTGATGAGTACGCACCCCCATCTGGTGGTTAAGCCTCCGGATGCTCCATCTTGCGGTAGCTGATCCTTTGGTCGTGGTGGCGGCTTACTGATTCTGACCATGCGCCGTTTCCTGGGGAGTGATCTCTGTATTGGTAGTTTGTTCTTGTACTTTTTGAATGTTCATCCAGGCTGCGCCGGGGATTTTGTTGGTTGTCCATCCAGCCTTGTTGGTTGCTGGGGATTCTTTGCTTTTGATTTTTTGTGGTGATCCTCCGATTCTTGCTGGTTAGTCGGGTTCTTTTCTTTTTGTGTTCGTCTTTTGGTAGTTGATTTTTATTGGTGCTGGTTTAATCCTGCCTTTTTTCGCGATTTTATCTTTTTTCTCGCGATTTTGGATTCTGGCTTTTTATTGAGCGTGTGCCTTTTTCTCTTAAGTTTTTTTTTGTTACGCTGGCTTTTGCAAAAGAAGGCAAAGGATGCGGAAAATAAAATTTTATTCATAGAAAATTTTATTACAACGACTTTTTATTTAAACCAGTACAGCCCCTAAGAGTCATCGTCAGAAGGGGCACGGTAGGGAAAATGCTTATACATGTGGTAGCGGAAGTCGATTTGTTCCTGGACTTCATCGTTGTAATCCTCCTGGAACGCCATCCACTCCTGCCGCATCCTTTGCTGCTCTTGGCGGATCTCATCCTGGCCCTCTTGAAAGGCCTGTTGGCGAACATCTTGGACCTGCCGCCACTGGGTCTGCTGCTCTTGCCATATCGCCATTTGGCCGATCTGCTGGCTCAGATCGTTCATGTGTAGGTGGAGGCCAGCAAAGTCCTCTG